ATGAAGCTCATTATCATGTACTGTGTATCAAACCTCATTGAAAACCTTTACTCCGAGGTGGGGACATGAACTGTAGCTCTGAATTTATTTCAGGTCTGTGACCAGCTTCACCAGAGCCTTCCCAAATATTTAAAATGCTGCTCAATGTGTGCCTGAAAAATCCAGCAATTGTTTATCAACCTTCTGGTGACTGTCAATGTTCACAGTGAGTTCAGATAATTCCTTGAGTATCTGGATGAATTTCGTTCCTTTGACAAGATTTCTTTTCATCCCAAGAATTCTCAGTCCCATCCTTAGTGGAATCACCTCTCTGTAGATATTTTCTAATCAACCTATTCAGAAATGTTCTTACACACCTCTAGAGTAGTTGGGACTTAAGCCTGGGTCTCCTGGCTTCAAGGCAAGGACACCTGCCACTGCATCATAACAGCCCTACCATCTCCCTATATGTTGCATCAGAGAATTATTTACAGAACTTTTAACATAGGGACATTTCATTGGATTGCTGTTTTGAAGCTGACACAGAAACAGTGGGCTGAATGGCCTCCTTCTGTGCTGTATCATCCTACAAAAAAGTCCCAAGGTTCTTTACAAGGATGGGTTGGGGAATGGAAACAGACATAAAGCAGGAACTAGGAGAAAAATTACAGAAGGCAAGCAAAGGTGATATTAAATTGATGGATTTTAGGGGGTTATACATTTGGAAATAGGAGAGAAAAAGCAAGAAAAGGAGTTTAATGAAGGAACTACATACAACACAAACACTAATGATGGAGACCAGGAGACTGGAGCCCAATTGAGGGTAGGGTAGCTGTAGGAATGGAAAAGGATGCAGAAGGAGCCTGCAGCAGTTATGAGGGAATTTGCAGTTGAAGGGCGAAAAGCATATGAAAGCTCAACTTTCAGGGCAGTATTTATCGCGTGTGGACTTTATATAATTGCACAGGTTGAACAATTTGACAGAATCCTGCTTACATTCTTGTTGCAAGTGAGACTAATAATTTAGTGCTAAATTATTTAGTGGGAATTTTTGTTTTCGTTTTTATAAAGATCCTAAAGATGCCAGTTAACCCAGAGTCATACCGTACCAGCGATCTCAGACTAGTCTATGCGTAGTGAGATATTCAAAGTTTTGGCAAAGATCTGTAGCTCGGGTTGTGGGTGAGATTGTTGACTTGCTCACTGAGCTGGCTTGTTCTCATTCAGACATTTCGTCACCATGCTAGGTGACATCATCAGTGGAGCCTCCGATGAAGCGATGTTATTCTACTCCACTTGGAATTTATACTGTCCAGTCCGTTATGGTGAGTAGTGTCATTTCTGGTTTTGATCTGTATGGGTTTGTATATGGGGTCCAATTCGATATGTTTGTTGATTGAAGTATGGGTGGAGAGCCATGCCTCTAGGAATTCCCGTGTGTCTCTATGTTTGCCTTGGACTACTATGGTTACTTTGTCCCAGTTAAATTGATGGCCTTCATTGTCTGAATGTACAGAGATTAAGGAGAGTTTGTCGAGGCGTTTTGCGGCTAGCTGATGTTCATGTATTTCAATGGCTAGTTTCCTTCCTGTCTGTCTGATGTAATGTTTGTGGCAGTCGTTGCATGGCATTTTGTAAACCACGTTGGTTCTGCATGTTGCGGGAATGGGGTCTTTAATCCTTGTAAGTGTCTGTCGTGGAGTGGCTGTGGGCTTGTGGGCCACCATGATTCCTCGTGGTCTTAGGAGCCTTGTTGTCAGTTCCAATATGTTCTTGATGTAGGACAGTGTGGTCAGTGTGTTAGGTTGTACTGTGTCCTCCTGTTGTTGTCTGTTTTATAGACATCTGTGGATGAAGTTGTGGGGATATCAGTTTAAAGTGAGAATCTTGTACAAATGTTCTTCCTCTTCCCGGTGTAGTTCTGTAGTGTTGCAGTGTGTCCTGGCCCTTTTAAAGGGTGTCCTAATGCAGCTTTGTTTGTGGACGTCAGGGTGGTTGCCGTGGAAATTGAGGATTTGATCTGTATGGGTTGCTTTTCTGTATACTGAAGTTTGGAACTCCCTGTTTGTCAATCGCTCTGCTTTAACATCCAGAAATGGAAGTTGATTGTTGTTTTCTTCTTCCCTTGTGAATTTAATCCCCGTGAATACACTGTTGATGAGGTGGTGGTTTCTCTTTTAGTTTGTTGCGCTTAAAAGTGACAAATGTGTCATCTATGTACTGGTACGACAATGAAGGCCATCAGTTTAACTGGGACAAAGTAGCCATAGTAGCCCAAGGCAAACATAGACATGCACAGGGATTCCTAGAGGCATGGCTCTCCACCCATACTTCAGTTAACAAACATTTTGAATTGGACCCCATATACAAACCCATACAGATCAAAACCAGAAATGACACTGCTCACCATAACGGACCGGACAGTATAAATTCCAAGCGGAGCAGAATAACATTGCTTCATCGGAGGCTCCACTGATGATGTGACCAAGCAAGGTGACGAAACGTCTGAACAAAAACAAGCCAGCTGGGTGAGCAAGTCAACAACCTCAGTGAGATATTCAGCTAACACACCTGAGTTCACTCAAAACTCTGCTGCCTGTATCCTAACTCACACCAAGTCCAGGCCATCTATCTTCCCTCTACATCGGCTGTCTGTCTGGCAATGCTTTAATTGTAGAAGTCTGATCCTTGTGTTCAAATCTCTCCATGGCCACCTTACCCCATTCTGTTCTCTGTAACCTCACTCAACCGCAAAAACTTCTGGGATTCCTGCACCACTGGGCTCTTGTCCACGTTCCACTTCCTTCCTCTACCATAGGCTGCTGTGCCTTCGGTCATCAATGCTCCAAGTTCTGGAATTACCATCACTAAGAGTGTGGCAAAGAAGGTTAAGCCCATCCTGAAAACATACTATTTTTGTGATCCCTTCTCATTCTCTGGTTAGGTACCATTGTTTTGTATTGGATATCTTGGATTTTTTCCAATTTTGAAGGGGCAAGCCGTTGTTATTGTTGGTATGATGCCAGCTAACCCTTGGGCTAAAATTTAATTACAAGCAGCTCCATGTCTGTCTGTACAGATGTAAAAGAATTCAATTGATGTCTAATATTAGGATAGAGTGGGAGAAGAGGGTAATCATCCTTCTTGAAAGATAAAAATAGAAAATGAATTTCTACAGTTCCCAAAGGAGTCTAATTTCTAAAAGACAATTTTATATTAGACTGGAATTATACCCAATGCAAACTCAATTTCGTGCCTTCCAAAGCAAAGCACTGTTCATTGGTCATTAAAAACATTGAAAGATGTATTTATATAGCACCTTTCACAACTTCAGGCTATCCAAAAACATTAAGTACTTCTGTTTTAAAATGTTATTACAGATGTAATACAGGAAAAGAGGCAACCAATTCAAGTGCAGCAATGGCTAGGTAGCATTCTGTGTTGAATATTGGTTGAGAGTTAAACATTGGAAAGAGAAATTGCCTTTAAATAATGTCATGTGATATTTAATGTCTGTTTGAGAGGAGAATAAGACCATAAGATCATAGGAAAAAGGAACAGGAGGAGGCCATTCAACTCCCCAAGCCTGCTCCGCCATTCAATAGGATCATGGATAACCCAAATTTCCTCATGTTTAATTTTGTGCCCTTTCTCCATATTTCTTGATTCCCTGATTGATCAAAAATCTATACCAGCCTTAAATATACACAAGGACTCTGCGCCCACATCTCCCAGTGGCATGGTGTTCCAAAGATTCTCAACCTTCAGTGAAGAGATTCCTCCTCATTTCAGTCTTAATTGGTGCCCCTTTGATACAATACCCTCTGCTCTTAGATGACAGGTAGTTGATGGCCTAGTGGTAATATTGCTTGACTATTAATCCAGAGACTGAGGTAGTGTTCTAGGGACCTGGGTTCAAATCCTGCTATGGCAGATCGTGGAATATGAATTACAATAATAATCCAGAATTAAGAATCTAATGATGACCATGAAACCATTACTATTATCAGGAAAAACCCCTCTGGTTCACTAATGTCCTTTAGGGAAGGAGATCTACCATCCTTACCTGGTCTGGCCTACATGTGACTCCAGACCCACAGCAATGTGGTTGACTCTTAACTGACCCCTGGGCAATTAGGGATGGGCAATAAATGCTGGTCCAGCCAGCAATGTCTACATCCCATGAATGAATAAACAAAAATTTACAAAACTCTCCCAAAGGGGAAACATCCTCTCAGCATTGGCCCTGTCAAGCCCCTTAAGAATCCTATAAATTTCAATGAGATCACCTCTCATTCTTCAAAATTCCAGTGAGTAGAGTCCCAACCTGTTTAACCTTTGCTGATATGACAATCTGTCTATTCAAGGGATTGTCCTATTGAACCTTCTCTGGACTACCTCCAATGAAGTGATATATTTTCTTAAATAAAGGGACTAAGAGTGCTCACAGTGCTCCAGATGTGGTCTCCGCAGCACCTTGTACAGTTGCAGTAAGAATTCCTTACTCTCATATTCCAGCCCCTTTGGAATAAGGGCCAACATTTCATTAGCCTTCCTGATTACCTGCTGCCCCTGGGTTCTAACTTTCTATGTTTCATGCACAAGTCCCCCCAAATCCCTTTGTGTTGCAGCTTTCTGCAGTTTTTCTCCATTTAAATAATACTCTGTTCTTTTGTTCTCCTTTCCAAAATGAAGAACCTCACATTTTCCCGATTGGGAATTTCTGTAACGTCGTATTCTAAACACAGCCCCGTTAACATAACACCATCCTTCGGTGATGTACCGCATCGCCCTACAGTGTACAATCAGCAATTAAACTGTATCCTCAGAAATCAGTGTATAAACTTGTCAATTTGCAACTCTGGGCAGCCAAAGTGATGAGAAACACCAGAACATAGTTAGTGCGCATTGTCAACTGTTAACCGCAGAAACATTAATGATTTTCTATCTGTTTCCCTCTTGCCGCAGATTCTCACATCCTTCCGGTTTCTAAAGGGGCTACAGTAACGGTCACACCGAGGATGGATGATGCTCCCGAGCTCCGGACTGATGGTAATTCCCTCCTGAAGGCGGTTTGGTTGGGAAGGTTGAGATTGACCAGGCTGTTGTTGGAAGGTGGGGCGTACATTAATGAGAGCAATGAGAGAGGGGAGACCCCCCTGATGGTAGCGTGTATGACCAGGCATGTCGACCAACAGAGTGTGAGCAAAGCCAAGATGGTGAAGTATCTGCTGGAAAACCAGGCGGACCCAAACATTCAGGACAAGGCGGGTAAAACCGCACTAATGCACGCCTGCATTGAGAGAGCCGGAGAGGAGGCGGTCTCCCTGCTACTCACTAATGGGGCAGACCCCAGCCTGGAGGACCACTCCGGGGCATCTGCCTTGGTTTACGCCATCAACACCGATGATAAAGAGGTTTTAAAATGTCTACTAAATGCCTGCAAAGCCAAAGGTAAGGAGGTCATCATCATCACTACTGACAAATCTCCTTCTGGGACCAAAACAACGAAGCAGTACCTAAATGTGCCGCCTTCCCCGGAACTAGAGGAGAGGCACACTCCTGCTCTCTGTATGTCTCCGTCTGACATTGAACTCAAGACATCGCTGACTCCATCTCCCACTGATGACCAGGAAAGTGAGAAGAGCTTTAATTTCCAAGTGATGTCACATCAGAGCGGCGGTTACACTAGCAAATCCCACAATGAGCCCAGCTCCCCAACCAGGAAGGTCAACCCGAAGAGAATGGGGACCCGCCTGCCTCAGCTGAAGAGGCTGCAGTCGGAGCCCTGGGGGCTGATCGCTCCCTCTGTCTTGGCTGCTGCTGCGTACCAGGAGGAGTGTAAACGGGCCAGTCCTGAAGAGGAGCTCATTCAGGGCATTAATGGCTTGGCGCTACCCAAACGCACCACTTTGTCCAGAACCGGCAGCATCGAGAGTAAAGACCCGTCCACCTTCCCATTTGTGGGAGATCCAACCTCTCGCACTCCGTCCACATCCGCTCCAGTTTCCCGGAAACAATCCTATGAGAAAAGCCAGTGCCAACACCAACCTCTAGCCCGGAGGAGCACCCTACCCTCCGAGCAGGACACGGTTAGTAGCTTCGCTGCTACTGGCCCGGTCAGCCTGAGGGACACAGTCCACCGCAGGAGGTTGGGCAATGACCATTATGATTCAGACTCTCAGCTTTATTCTGACTCGATCTCCAATCCATTCGAGTCCATAAAAATCACGTTTGAAAGAAAGAAGCACAACACCTCTCCGCTGACGTTGCTGACCAGCTCCCGGGAGTCCCTGGATAGTATCGCCAGCACATCTCCGGGTTCAGTCCGCCGCAGGCCCCCTGGTCTCCTGGAGAGGAGAGGCTCTGGGACCCTCCTTCTCGATCACATCTCCCACACGAGGCCAGGTCACCTCCCCCCACTGAATGTCAACCCCAACCCGCCCATCCCTGACATCGGCTGCAACAGCAAGCCGTCATCGCCTCTAACTATGGGCCTGAAATCTCTGGTCCCTGTGGCACCATCTTCACCAAAACGGAACGAGACGAAAACCAAAAAGAAGCTGGTGAGGAGGCACTCCATGCAGGTGGAGCAGATGAAGCAACTCTCGGATTTTGAGGAGCTGAACACTTAGTGCATCTGACACCACGATCTCACCTTCAGATATCCAAGATGTAAATTAATTCAAAATTATAGTTTAACAAATCAACAAACTAGATTAGTCTTTTCCTTTCCAGTGTCTAGGGGAGCCGGGCTGGCAACATTAGGGAGCCACGTTTTATTGGGATACAATTGGACCGAAATGAGCGCAATTTCAACAATGGCGGAGATATCAGTGGCTCACCACCAACATTCCCTTCCTTCCTTTCCACCGTCCGCCGGGTGTGCTGCTCTCTCACATTCCTCACTTAGCCTGGGATGAAGAGACTGGGGCCGGTTTTGTGTTTGATCTGGTTACAACGAAATGGTCCCAATGGATAGAGCCTTTCCAATGGCGATGGCCAAGATCCAGGTTTTAATGGCAGGAAAACTACCAATTCCACTTCAAAGGGTATTTCCTCACTACCCCGTCTCCCATTAACAGCCAAAATATGTGGCCACTCCCGACATAACCAAAGTGCTGGTATTGTTTTGGTTTCAGTGAAGCATCAAAATCCCCAAGCCGCACACAGACACGCTGATGCTCGATGTTGATGCCTTTACACTTACTGCATTAAGCTAGCAGTTCCCGGCGAGCCAATCATCGTTAATACTTCATTAATTGTGACGGATTTAATATTCTAACTACCTAAATTCCTTCTAGCGGAAATTCCTGCGTACTCCTCGGACGGTTTTTAAATTATTCTTAAAGAGATCAACGTTAAGATCCTGCTTTCAATTGATAAGAGTTATGATGGAACCAGAAGGGTGGAGGTGACAGAAGACAGATTTTCTACCTGGAAGTCTTATGCATGGCCAGTGAATTGATTGGTTATACAGCAGCCGCAGCCAGACGGTGTACCCATGTACATAAACCAAACTTGCCAGAATCAGAAAGGCAACCTTGATTATTGTTTAAGCAGCAGAATTCTACTATTTCGATAAGACCATTTACTACTGTCCATTTTTGTATGCTCTCTAACTGGATCTCCAGCTTAGGCGGTGTTCCTTGATCCAACTTGATGGTATTGGATATTATCAGTAATCCTTCTAGCTAGATGAAACCACTTGAAGACGTCTACTGGGAACAGTTAGCATTTATTTTGACTTGGGCAGTTAGTGGTCTGAGTGTTCATGTCAGGTTGATCATTAATATTAGCACCTTGCACCACCTCAGGACATCCCCAAGCGCTTTACAGGTAATCAAATACTTTGGAAGTATAATTCCTGTTGTCTTGCAGGAAATATGGCAGCCAATTTGCTTAAAACCAGACCCCACGCAAAGCAATAACCAGTCAATATGTTTTAGTGATGTTAGAGCTCTTTGCTATGCTCTGCTCTGAAACAGTGCCATGGGATTCCATGTGCCCCAAGCAAACAGGTCAAATAGGACCTCGATTTCTCCCATCAGGGAAATGCATATAGGCTGTGGAGCAGTGACAACTATTGTCATTTGGATTTATATATTAAAAAGTGAAGAATAAACATTAGAAACTAAAGTTGGTAAAACAAATCAGACCAATGTCAAAAATGTTTATTTTTTTCTAAATACATTTCAGTACTAATCACCTAATTACAAATGTCTCATCTCCGTTTCTCCTGAACTCTATTCCCTCCATCACATGGATTCTGAATCACAACAGTCAATTCTTGTGTATTTGCATTTAATAATCAAATATTAACCTACATTATCCAAGGATGTCAGTTCATCAAACAAAAAGGGCAGAAGACTTAAAAGTCACCAATCTGACTCATTCTACCAAGGTTATAAATCCACTAAGATTGAACCATTGCAAACTTTAAAGTTACAAAATAGAGTACAAGTAACTATCTTATACTTTACATGAATAGACTAAAATAATACAATAACATAAACAAGTATTAGCATTGGTTTTGCAGAGTATTGTGTGAGTAAATATAAATTTAAATTTAAAAAAATATTGTTCAAGTAAATATTTGTGTATTTCTGTGGAAATAAATTTAGAATGTGAATCATTATAATTAGCAGTTTGCCAACTGGAAGTGCATTAAGATGTGTTTGTTTCTCTGTTTAAAGCACCTTAAAAGTTTTGTCAGAGGTGAGACTCCCTCAAATCCAAAGCTTCCATTCTGAATGATGGTTGGACAAAGTTTGTTAAACCAAATGAAGCAGGAAGTGTTGAGCTGATTAAAATTACAATTTGCGGAAGCCATTTTGCTTATTGGTCTAACTCTGTCCTTTGTTCTGTGTTTTGTCAATGTGTAAATAACATGATATGTATTTTCTTAATATTTTAAATTTAATGTCTGTAAATAAGCAACTTTCCCAGGATGGAACTTGCAAATGTTAACCCACATTGTCTAAATGATGGATGTCATTTGGAGCTTCACTGAAGGTTCAGAGACTGTTCTAGGATTTAAATTATCGCTTGAAAGAGCAAGCATTTCTTTACAGAATGTAAGCAGATTGTTACAGCATCTTGTGTACAAGAGTATTTTCATAAAATAAATGAGTGGTATATTATCTGCGGCATGTAACATTGCATTGTACTGGACAAAAATCTTACAAAAATATTGAAGAGCAAAACCTCACTATTGCATTTTAGAGAACAATTTCCCTCTATTCAACAATGCTATAGTAAACAAATGTGATGCCCAGTTTCACTTTAGATATGGGCCAGGAGCAGGCAATTTGGACTAGTTTACTTTGGGATTACAGTTAGCATGGACTGGTTGGATTGAAGGGTCTGTTCCCATGCTGTATGACTCTATATGAAAATGATCAATTTTATGGTTCTATGCCCAGACTCAGTCACGACTGGTGGGAGGAATTCAAAGGGTCTGGCAAGAATAATTCAAAACAAGCAATGGTTCAAATTGATTATCAATAGGGTAGTACTACAGTTTACATCCGTGGTCAGAGTTCCTACAAGAGAGGTAACTACCATTCTTCATTCAAGAGATGAACAGTTCTCCTGAAGAGAATTATACAACATACAAAAACCTTTAATTCTTTAATGAACACTACATAGGAGAAATAGTCCACTCGATCTAGCAGTGTTAATAAAGATTTGGGACAAATCACGGATTAAATGCACCGAACGAATGGGGAGGGCTCGTAAGTACAGAGATACAAGTCTGATACAAGGGAGAGATAAAAACAGTTACAGTGGACAGTGACAGAGGAAGAATGATGCAGAATGTGGCTCCCACCTCTGAGTGAATACCTAGTATGCTTTATAAACTTTACAAGCAGATTCTTCAGTCTCAACACTCACTGTACAATTTTTAAAAAGTCAAATTCACTACAGTGCATAATATATTTTAAAGGCTTTGTGTACAAAATTCATATGTTAATGCAGGGCTATGAGTATACATTGCAGAGGACAGAATGTGACATTTTTAAACTCTACAAACTTTCCATCAATCAACAGGTACAGACTGTCACTCACAATGATCAAAGACATATTTTATTCTTGTTTAGAGATTTATGGTGACCCATGTATTAACGAGACTAAGATTAAAGACAGAAATTCCAGTTCTAATCAGACTTACTTCATGAAATCGGAAAAATGAATCAACTTTATTTTTGAAAATGCAAGATCTGAAAAATGCTTCAGCAAGTTTTGGATCACAGGTTAAATGCCTCCTTCACACTGTAGTGAAGCAAATTCCTTTCAATTTGAAAATGGTGTGTCAATTGGCAATCCAACAGAGACAAGCCTAAGAATGTGTGAACCCAATTTCCCACATGCAATTTTTTTTAAACAGCCCACATTAGCGGATTTAGGCTTAGCAGATAATTATGCATTGCTGCAGAATGGGCCTGAGATTTGTAAACTCAGTTACTCAGACCATTGTTTACTCTAGTACTAGAGGTCTAGCAAGAGGAATGTTTCCTATTTTTCAGATAAGAATGTTGAGTTCTTTTCTCACCTCCAAATACTAGTTTAATCTTCTGCAGAATTGTACTAAAAATAACTAGTGCAGTTTCTGAATAAAGCAAGAAAAAACATTTGCATTTGTATATCACTTTTCACAAACACACTATCCCAAAACACATTGTCTGTAGTATTTTTGAAGTATGGTTATTGTTAGAATGCAGAAAAATACAGCATCCAATTTTCATACACCTTGGTTCCACAAATAGCAAACAAGTAATTTTTTTTATTCATTCAAAGGACGTGGGTATCGCTGGCTAGGCCAGCACTCATTGCCCATCCTTAATTGCCCAGAGGGCAGTTAAGCATCAACCATTTTGCTGTGGGTTTGGAGTCACATGTAGGCCAGCCCAGGTGAGAATGGCAGCTTTCCTTTCCCTGAAGGACATTAGTGAGTCACATGGATTTTTCCGACAATCAGCAATGGACTAGATGATCAGTTTTCAAGAAATTTGATTGAGGAGTAGACATCAATTGGAGCTTGAGGTGTAGTCACAACTACATGCCTGTTAAGGTCTCACAAAACAGCATTGGAATGAATGGCCTTTTTACCTATTGGATGATCATCTGTGGTGTTTGAGGGATTTATGTGGGCTAGAATTCTATGTAGCACTCGCACAGCAGTGGAGTATCAGCCTACATTAAATGAAGTATCTTCTGGAGTGGGGCTGAAACCAATGACCTCCTGACCAAAGAGTGAGTGCATTACCTACCTAACCTGGGATGCAATTGTGAGGTGGGGCTAGAGGGTGTGCAATATTTTGGATGAGGAAGTACAGATGTATTACAGTTCTCATTTTACAGAATCCTATGCTATTATTATTCTGTTTGCATTCTCATATTCAGATTTATAAATATTTTAACTAGCACACTGGGATCATATGCTCCTGCCAAATGGGAAGGTGTACTTGCAGTGTGTCAAGTTTCCATTATAAATTCTTGCATCCATAATTACAATTAGAATGTTACAAGGTTGGAATAACAGTAAAATATTTCACTGGACACATTATATAATTTTCATACACTACAGTCATGTCTTGCTTCCCAATATCCAGGCCATTGTATTCATCAAATAAGTCATTCCATTTTACTCATGAGTTTTTATGTAACTTTTGAAATTGTATGTTGGAATGACATTGATCTTTCCATCTGAATTAAAAGCCAGTGACCGTGCCTGTGATAGAATGATCTTTGCATTTCCTCTCCCTACAAACTGCACATTTGAAATCAGTAACAGTTATGCAACATCTTGAAATTTACTGAATTTTATTGTCTTGAAAGATACTATGATTTAATTGACCCTGTCTAAACTTCAAAATCTGCACAAACCACAGGCCAGAACATCCTAAAACGGTGACAATAATTTTCTCTCAGAACTGATAATATTGCATATTAAGATACTCCGAAACACCACCACACACCCTGTATATAAGAAGTTTCAATCAGGAATGTAGAATAAAGACAAATGGATTAACATCTCAGGATTCAGGAACATGAAGTCGTTGTCCTTCAGATTCTAGACCCACCATCTTTTCGCTGAGTTCCCAAAGTCTCTTTGCAGGCTCATCATCTCTGCCTTGAGGGGCAACTGCTTTAACAGCACAATCACTGTCAAAATGAATAAGTTGGAATTAGTCTAGCATGCAGTATTAACTGCAGATGGTCCACTGGGTGACAATACAGGAGGTGTTGGCTTTGTGCAATGGTGTAAAGGGCCATTTGCAAAACTGTCTCCTAACATGCCACAGTCAAAAACTGACCCCAATATACATAATTTCTTTTTAATCTTTTGGCTTTTGGCTTTCCCATTCCTGATGATATGAATGTGTGAACAGAACAGAACAGATCTTTTATCACAGCCATCAACCTTTTAGTCTTCCATAAGGTCAGAACACTTCTTCTTTCATCGCATTTTCCTTCCATGACATTGCACACGCCAAAGCTCCCCACCCCCACAACCCACTCAGGAAGCACAGATTCATTATTTTCTGCAGAACTTTACATTAGTGAAGTTGCAAATTATTCAAAGTTTCAACACCACTATTGGTACAAACTGATGGAAAAGATTCCAAAATGTACACAGCCAGCTGACTGGCTCAAAAAATCGTTGGCTCCTTGGGATTACAAAGGTTACAGGGTGAAGATACTCACACAGTTCCTAAGCACCTATAGGCATCAATAGTAAGAGTTTCAGATGAAAACAATGAATATCTGTGTATAGCAGTCACATGACCATGTGGTGACAATGTTCATGTACAATAGTCACAGTGTTGTAACATCAGTGTACAATTGCATGATTCTTATTGATTTCATTTTTTTTGGAGGAGGGCTGTATACACATTCATGTTCCTTGATACAACATTTCAAAGCAATGTGATACACTGTTAAATTGCAATACAGCAGCAAGTATAAAAAAAATACATTTGCATTTATGAAGCAGTTTCACATCCTTAAAATGTCTGTGCAATATAGACAATGAGAAAAGATAGTCACTGTCATAATGTTTGACTGTACTCAGAACGTACGCAGCAAGATCCCATAATCAGCAAGTTGATAATGGTCCTATCATCTTTTTCAGTGATGTTGACTGATAAGTAAATATTTGGCAAAGATATTATTGAGGATCATTGCTCTTCTCAAAATAGTGCACTAAGATCTCTACCTCCACCTGAGAGAGCAAATAGGCCCTTGCTTTAACATTATCCAAAAGAAACATTCCCTCAGGAGCACACTTAATTCTTAGCTTAGATTTTAGATTTAAGTCTCAGGAAGAGGACTTGAGCCCATGACCTACTGTCTTGGAGATAAGAATACTATCCGCTACCCCTAAGCTGACACCACTGGATAAATGGTCCAAGATTATGAAAAGCCAGAGCGCAACAGGTCGGTAACTATTTCTTTATTACCTGCTTTACCTGAAAGTCGTTATGTTCACCATCACAGGAATCTTGGCAGGAACATCGAGGGAACTAAAATTTTAAATCAGGCACTTTCAACTGTTTCAAGAAGTAAGCTACATGATACAAGATAAAGAATGCAACCTCACCTGAAGTACAGGCCACTAACATCGTCCAGTTCCTCAGAAACTGCACAATAGATGTTTGTCTGAGCTCCCTGCCATACACTCTTAAACGTGAGAATGGATAGAGGTACCAGGAGAATCTTTGACCATATTGACAGAGTAGGGTACATGTGACATAACAATTCAGTCTTTATTACTCCCGGATGGAGACAATTGGCAGTAACTCCAGTGCCTGAAATAAAGACAGACAATCATGAAGGCAAAAATGTGAAATTTAGGATATATGTTCAAAACCAGTTTGCTAAGGATTGGTCCCCTGAGAATTAGGATTCCGATCAGAACAAACAGATCTATAAAACTTGCCAATAATTTGGCATCCATCAATGTCAGTGCATAAAGTGGAAATGCTTGAAGCACTTTTCAGAGTTTGGGCTTAAACAATGCAAGTCAATACTCAGTATAAACATTTTTTTATGCATCCAAACAAAAGATATTGTTGACTTGGAAGCACAGAATTTAAATACATTTCACACGAGTAGACATCCTTCAACTTCAAAAAGGCAAGGATAAAGAAGAAACCCACAAATACTTAGTTAGGATCCTAAAGGCCAATAACTTAAGTTAACTAAATAACTGGAAGTTTTGTCCCAACAATTATCAGCACTACCCCTGGCTTCAGGCATCATAAATAGTTTAATTATCTTTCTGAACATAATACATAGTACTGTTATTAAAGTACTTAACGCATACACAGGTCATTTGATTTAGCTGATCCGTCTATACTCTACATGAACCTCCACTCACCTTTTTTCATCTACCTCCTTCCATATGTTTACTAGCTTGGCTCTTATAAAATCAATGCAATTCACTTCAGTGGTTCCGTGATAACAAATGTGTAGTCTAAGCATTCTCTAGGTCATATAGTCATACAATATAATTATAAACACATTTATCAGATCACCCCTCACTAGTCTCAGTTATAGGAAGAGGACCCCCAGCCAGTTCAAATTTCCCTGACAATGCTGGTATCTTTCTACAACACTCACCTTTTAATTTCTTTGCAAGTTCCCTGGTGAACAGGACATTGGCCAGCTTGCTCTGTTCATAACTAACAGCAGGATCATAACAATTTTCCAAATTAATGTAATCAAAATTAATTTTCCCTGTATTTATGAAAAAGGAATCGGTAACCCATGCATTAACTTCAGATTATTGATCAAATCACATTTTGTAGATAAATAAGAAGCAATTGTTATCTTTGAGTATAAGTGATTCAGGTGAAATTCTTTCTGATCCTTTTCCAGATTATTTGGAAACAAATCATGTTCCTTTGTTTCTTTTAATGCAGCACATGAAAGGAAATGAACAGACTTTGCTTTCAAAACTGAAGCATTTTTATTAATTCACATTAATGGCCTTCGCTGGCTGGGCCAGCATTTATTGCCCATCCCTAGCTGCAGTGGAGAACGTGGCCGTGAGCTGCTTTCTTGAACTGCTGCAGTCTATTTGGTGTAGATAAAACCACAATATCATTTGAGAAGGAGATCCAGGATTTTGACCAAGTATGACTGAAGGAATGGCAATACTCTTTTATGTCTGGATGTTGAATGGCTTGAAGGGAAACTTGCAGGTAGTGGAGTTCCCATATATCTGTTTCCCTGTCTTTCTAGACTGTAATTGTTTTGGTTTAGGAAGGTGGTGTCGTAAGAAACTTTGGTGAATTTTTACAGTACATCTCACAGATATTAAACACTGCTGCCACAGAGCGTCAGTGGTGGAAGGAGTGAATGTTTGTGGATACAGCATCAATCAATCAGGCTTTGTCCTGGATGGTGTCAAATTTTTGAATGCTTTGAATTATGCTCAAGTCAATGGAGTGGGTTGAATGTTGTTGGAAGTGCACTCATCCAGAAAGTGGGGAGTTTTCATCGCACTCCTGACTTATGTCTCATAGATGCTAGACAGGCTTTAGGTAGTCAGAAGGTGAGTTACTCATTGCAGGACTCCTAGCTACTGAACAGCCCTTGTAGCCATTAATATGGTTAATCCAGTTCAGTTTCTGGTCAATGGTAACCATCAGAATACTGACAGTGAAAGATTTAGTGATGGTAATGCCACTGAATGTCAAGGAAATTGTTAGATTCTCTCCTACCAGGGATTGTCATTGCCTGACATTTGTGTGATGCAAACAGTACTTGCCACTTGTTAGCCCAAACCTGGATACCAGGTCTTTCTGCATTTGGACATGGACCCCCTCCAGTATCCAAGTAAACATAAATGGTGCTGAATGTTGTGCAATCATCAACAAATTTCCCCACTTCTCACCTTATGATGCAGAGAAGGTCATTGATGAAGCAGCTGAAGATGGTTAGGTCTACAATATTTTACATTTGCTAAAATGAAAACTTGCAAACTAGAGACCACAAAGAAACAAAACTCACTGGGTAAAAAATATGGATTGCTCTTTCTCAAAATGTAGTTATTACTAGATTTTTTTATTCATTCATGGGATGTGGGCACTGCTCGCTGGGCCAGCATTAATTGCCCGTTCCCTAGTTGCCCTTGAGAAGGTGGTGGTGAGTTGCCTTCTTGAAACCCTGCAGTCCACCAGTTCCTTTGGGAAGGAATGCCAGGATTTTGACCTGGCCACACCGAAGGAATGACAATCTATTTCCAAGTCACCAAGGTGAGTGGTTTGGAGAGGAACTTGCAGATGGTTGTGTTCACACATTTCTACTGCCCCTGCCCTTCTACATGGAAGTGGTCATGGGTTTCAAATGTGCTGTCTGAGGATCTTTGATGAACTTCTGCACTGCTGTTACTGAGCATCACTGGTGGAGGGAATGGATGTTTGTGGACATGTTGCCAATGAAGTGCTTTGTCCTAGATGGTGTTAAGTTTGAGTGTTGTTGGAGCTGCACCCATCCAAGCAAGTGGGGAGTATTCCATCACATTCCTGACATAAGCCTTGTAGATCTGGATATGATTTGGGGAGTCAGGACGGTAGTTATTCACTGCAGTATTCCTAGCCTCTGACCTACTTTCATAGCCACTGTGTTTATATGACGAGACTAGTTGTAAGCCCCAGGATGTTGATAGTGGGTGATTCAGTGATAGTAACACCATCAAATGTCAAGGCAGTGATGGTCATAGCCAGGCATTTGTGTGGTGTGAGTGTTACTTGCCACTTGTCAGCCCAAGCCTGGATATCATCCAGATTTTGTATTTTGAACACTGACTGCTTCAGTATCTGAGGAGTCGCAAATGGTGCTGGACAGTGCACAATCATCAGCAAACATCCCCACTTCTGACCTTACGATGGAGGGAAGATCATTGATGAAGCAGCTGAAGATTATTGGGCCCAGGACACCATTGTGAGGAACTCCTGCAGAGATTACCAATCCCCAATAACCACAAACATCTTCCTAGGTGACAGGTACGAATCCAATCAGAGGAGAGTTTACCCCCGATACCCATTCATTCCAGTTTTGTTAAGGCTCCTTGATGCCACACTTTTTCTCCCCCTAATTGCAGCTGTGATGTCAAGGGCTGTCACTCTCATCTCCCCTCTGAAATTAAGCTCTTGTCTATGTTTGAACCAAGATTGTAATGAAGTCAAGAGCTGAGTAGTCCTGGCAGAACTCAAACTGGGCATCACTAGGCAGGTTATTGCTGAGCACCTGCTGCCTGATAGCACTACTGATGACACCTTCCATCACTTTGCTGATGATCAAGAATAGACTCAAGGGGTAGTAATTCACTGGGTTGAATTTGTCCTTTTTTATGCATAGGATATACCTGGGCAATCTTCCACATTATCAGATAGATGCCAGTGTTGTAAATGCACCAGAAGAGCTTGGCAAGGGAAGCCACAAGTTCTGGAGCATGTCTTCAGTAGTACTGCTTGAATGTTTTCAGGGCCCGTAGTCTTTGCAGTATCCAGTGTCTCCAACTGTTTCTTGAAATCATGCGGACTGAATCAAAATGGCTGCAAACTGTCATTCCGTAATTCAGGGACACTGGAGGAGGCTGAGATGGATCATCCACTGGCACTTTTGGTTGAAGATTGCTCCAAATGCTCCAGTCTTATCTTCTGCACAGATGTGCTGGGCTCTTTCATCATTGAGGATGGGGATACTTGTGGATGTGGAAGGATTGCAGAACTTAGATCTGATCTATTGGTTATGGGCTTGTTTAGCTCTATCACTTGCTGCTTATGCAGTCTGGCATGCAAGTAGTCCTGTTTGGAAGCTTCAGCAGGTCGATACCTCATTTTTAGGTATGCCTGGTGCTGCTCCAGGCATGTCCTCTTGCACTCTCCATTGAACCAGGGTTGATACCCTGGCTTGATTGCAGATTGTGTACAATTCCGCTGCTTTTGATGGCCCACAGCACCTCATGAATCTATCCGAATTCTGTCCCATTTAGCATAGTGATGGGGGTGATTCTCAATGTGAAGGCATAACTTCATCTCCACAAAGACTGTGCAGTGGTCACTCTTACCAATACTGTCATGGATAGATAACTCGGCAGAGGTCAAGTACACTTTTCCCCTCTTGTTGGTTCTGTCACCAGCTGCTACAGACCCAGTCCAGCAGCTATGTCCTTTTGCCCTGACAAGCTCAATCCGTAGTGCTACTGCTGAGCCACTCTTGGTGATGAACATTTAAAGCCCCCACCCAGAGTACATTTTGCGTTCTTACCACCCTCCATGCTTTCTCCAAATACTGTTCAATATGGAGGAGTACAGATTCATCAGCTGAGGGAGGACGGTACGTGGTAACCAAGTGGAGATTTCCTTGCCCACATTTGACCTGAACCCATGATAGGTCATGGAATCCGGAGTCAATGTTGATGACTTCCAGGGCAATTCCTTCCCCACTATATACCCCTGTACCACCATCTCTGCTGGGTCTGTCCTGGTGGTAGAATAGTGATGGTCATAGTCATATATATAGAATAATTGTCTGTAATCTATGTCCGGCTATTGCTTGACTAGTCTAAGAGACAGCACTCCCAGTTTTGGCACTAGACCCCAGATGTTAGTGAGGAGGACCTCGCACAGTCAACAGGACTGTTTCTGTTGTTGTTGTCTTTTCCAGTGCCTAGGTCGATGCTAGATAGGCTGTCCAGTCTCATTTCCTTGAGATTTAATAGTAATTAGGCCAACTGAGTGGTTTGCCAGGCCATTTCAGTGGGCCATTGAGAGTCATCCACACTGCTGTGGGTCTGGAGTCACATGTAGGCCAGACAAGATGAGGATGGTAGATTTCCTTCCTTGAAGGGCATTAGTCAACCAGATGTGTTTCCAACAGTCAAAAATAGTTTCATGGTCATCAGTAGATTCTTAACTCTACTTTCTTTTAACTGAACTCAAATCCTACCATTTGCCATAGCTGGATTTGAACCTGAGTCCTAAGCCAAATTCTGGATTAACAGTCTTGCAATAACAGTTCTAGGCCGTAATGGCCAAGACAGTAGGTTAAATAGACAGCATTGATTGAAGTATACTTATCTTACCAGGACAAGTATCACCTCAAAAGGATAGACAGAAAGAAAAAACCAAATGAGTTCACCTGGTCAGAGTTAAAATCTATTTTAGGGACAGGCCCTAGGAAACAATGAATGAATTAGGTCATACAGTCAGTGATATACAGCGCAGAAACAGACCCTATGGTCCGACTTGTCCATGTCAACCAGATATCCTACATAAATCTAGTCCCATTTGCCATCATTTGGCCCATATCCCTCTAAACCCTTCCTATTCATGTAAGCATGTAGATGCCTTATAAATGATGTAAATCAAAAAGCCTCCACCACTTCCTCTGGCAGCTCATTCCATACATGCATCATCCTCTCTGTGAAAAAGTTGCTCCTTAGGTCCCTTTTATATCTTACCCCTCCCACCTTAAACCTATGCCTTCTACTTTTGGACTCCCCCACCCTTGAGAAAAGACCTTGCCTATTTAACCTTTTCATGCCCCTCATGATTTTATAAATCTCTATAAGGTCACCTCTCAGTCTCTGACACTCCAGGGAAAATAGCCCCACCCCATTCAGTTTCTCCCTAAAGCTCAAACCCTACAACTTAGGCAACGTCCTCGTAAATCTTTTTGGAGCCCTTTCTAGTTTCACAACGTCCTTCCTATAGGAGACAAGAATT